AAGATTTCAAGCACAAAGCAAAGAAAATAAAATATCTCCGAAGATCTCTCCGAAATTCTTTTTCGATCGGCCCATCTGGATCATGAAAATATTGCATGAATGCCAGGCTTTTTTGATCTCATGTTGAATAAAAATTCTACTGGCATTTAAGTTAAGGAAATGTAAAAAAAAATTATTTATTAACTATTTATTAAAATTATTAAATTTAACTAAAAAAAAATTATTGACTAAATATTTATTCGATTAATTTTAATTAATTTGTAATTTATTTAAAAATATAAAGTATCGGAAAATCCAATCTATTAAATTGATTTATTAGTTAATTTAATGCAACTTCAATAAGTTGATTCAAATTGCTTTATTAAGATTTTAAAAAATTGGTAAATATTTATTTACCCAACTTAGCCAAAAATATTGCAGCCTGGCTAAAATAATGGAGCTTAATTTATGTTATCTCATTCAATTAATAATAGTAATCATTTTAAAATTACCAATTACCATTTAATAAATTGCCAATTAAATAAATAAAAAAATCAAATAAATAAAAAAATTTGTTTATCAAACCTTCTATTCTAGCTACGTTACTATGTTATTATTATTATTGTTATTATTATTATTATTATTATTATTATTATTATTATGAATATAAACTTAAAATATACTATATTTAAAGTGGTTTATAATCTATGGAGCATTAAAATTAAACAAATTGCAGTCATTGCAAGGACAAAACAAGATGGAATTATCGCATGATTTCAAGTTATAGATTATACTGACAAAATTACTATTATCGAATCAGCAAATTTGATGCTTCCGACGATATTTTCACCCTAGAAACAAAATTCTTTGCTATAAAAATAACATACTGATTTCAATTTTTCATAATTATCTCTAACAAAACATATCATTTTATTCGAATACAATTTTTTAAATATATCCATCGATTGTAATGCCATCTACATGGCTATGATGCCCCACATTACATTACAAAAAATATATGAGACTTTTAAATATGAAGCGGAAAATTTAAAAATTTTCGAATTAAAATTTAAATATGAAGAATGAAAAATTTTAATTTTAAGAAAATTTTAAGACAAAATTTTAAATTTCGGAAGGATTTAATGCAAAAAATATGATTAAGAAAAATTTCGGCCACAATTATCGAATTCTAAAATAAGATAATAAGTTTGGCATTAAATTTCCCCATAATAATCGAATTATAAGAGACCAAAAAATGGTAATCCAGATTTACTCATTGTGCGCTGTGAGGAAATGGTTTTGGATAAATAATTATGCAGCATCACACAATTTAATATAGTAATAAATGTTCATAATTTCAAATGAAAGTGAATAGTAAACAAGCAAGCATTTGCACGAGGTGATTTTGAAACAACCATCTAATTTACTTTACTTCTAAATAATAATGATAATAAGGATGAATTCAACAAATTCAATAAATCTAGCAGTTTCAATCCAATAAAATTTATGATATTCTTAAATATATGATATTCTTAAATAATACTTATCAGTTCATATCAAAATAATGAGACAATAAGGGAATCGAATTCGTCCTATGCGATTCGTTTTCTCTAATTATTGACGGTGTCATTTATTGATGCTCGATTCTTAAAAATCCTGAAAATCTGCATAATTTTGCTATTCATTATAAATGTCTAATGAAAAAATGAAGAAATGCCTTACTTTTGTATAAAAAACAGGCAATAGTTTATAATTGTTAAGAGTTTAATAGAGTTTTATTTTCCCCTTTATTAACTTTTTTTTTTCAAAAAAAATCTCCTTTACAATGAAATATTTTAACATACCATTCAAATCGTTAGTCACTGATGATTTCGCATCCTTTTGTACATCGCTACAATTAAATTTTGATAAATTCGTCACGTTTGCATCGATATTCGGACTTAAATTCATCTTCTTTTCCTTTTTTTTAAAATGGTACTTATAAATATAATGCCATATCTCTTAGATTTGCTCTCTTATCAAGATATATAGCCAAATCATGCATTAATAATGTATCAGGCTTTAAGCAATTAATCTCTGATTTAATGGTTCTGAATCTCATTAACTTTGAGCACCCAAAGGAAAGCAAGCCGACATTGCGCAAAAGAATCTTCTTATCTTCTTCTAACAGTTCTCACCATTACTGGTTAGGCTCGCTCCAACGACTACAAGGGTAAGACGCTTCCAAGCGGCGCGGTCTGATGCCATCGTCGACAGTAATGGAAGCCATTCCTTTTTCCATCGTATAAGTCCATATATTGCTGGTCCACCAATACGTTCAAAATTTTTTCTCACCGTATCAGTCCAGGTTTTGATTGGCCCAGCTCGCTTTTGACGCCAACCATCACATTGTTTAGCAAATAACGAAATATGCAACAACTCCTGTGGTGGACGACAGAGAATATGCCCTAACCAGCCAAGGCGAAGTTTTTTGATAACATTATTTATGCAAGTGGTATTTGAACGAAGGTGGATGCGATCATGTGATATCTTGTCCGCTCGACGGATCCGTAATATGTACCTTAGACAAGAGTGGTCAAAGGCAGATAACTTCTTAATATCCTCCACTCTCATTGGCTATGTCTCAGAACCATATAGTAAGATCGAATGGATCACGACAATATAGATGCGGACTTCGTTTTTATGGTAATTTCACGACGATTCCATAAAAGTTTCGTCAACCGGAAGAACGCATTTCTAGCTGCCGTGATCCGAGTTGTAATATTATCTTTTGCCTGTCCATTTGATATTAGAGTGGACCCAAGGTATTTGAAATTGGGCACTTCCTCAACCGGCAATGAATTTATAAAAAGAGGCATTTTATCAGCTTCTTGCACAAAGACGAAAAGACTTTCGTTTTATTTTATTTACATTGATCCTGAGTCCGATTCTTGCTGCAGTTTCTGACACGTTATTAAGTATTGCTTGCATTATAAGTGTCTCAGCAAAAAGGACTACATCATCAGCGTATTCAAGATCTGTGATACGATGTTCTGGACTAATTCGGACACCTCTTGAGTGCCGACAAGCAGTGTCCATTATCCAGTCTATCGCATAATTGAGTATTGTGGGGGAAAGGACGCAGCCCTGACGGACACCTGTTCTTATTTCGAAGGAATCTGTCAACTCCCCATATACATAGACCTGCGCCGACGTGCGCTCATAAAATGCCTTTATGAGTCTAATGATCTTCTCTGAAACACCGCCGCATTCCATCATCCTCCAAAGCACCTTTCTATCAATTGAATCAAAGGCAGCCGCAAAGTCGATGAAACACGTGACAGTGGGTTGCAAATATTTGAAACGATGTTCCAACACCCTTCTTAACGTGAATATCTGGTCAGCACAACCGGTGCCCTGGTCCGACACCATCTTTATTAGGGCGCATCTTGCTGTCCCATACTTCCATAAGTCTGTTGAGTAGCAGGAAAGCAAAAATTTTTGCTGAGACGTCTATTAGGCTGATTCCTCGATAATTGTCGCAATATGTCCTATCACCTTTCTTGAGAATTGGGAGCAGAATTGCTTTGCTCCAATCAACTAGTAATATTTCTTTTTTCCATACTAAGAGTACATTTATTGAAGGTGCCTTATGAAGGACAATGGACAGCATTTGAAAAGCTCAGCCCGAAGACCATCTTCTTTTGGAGTTTTGTTGACCTTAAGCTTATGGATAACTGAAATTATTTCTTCTAATTATTTCTTGGAGGCTCGCAATTGCAAGCGTGTGCTTCAGTAAACGTATCAGTTATAACAGGAACAATAGATGGCGCTTTATGGTTAAGTTTGGTCTCAAAGAATTTTTTCTATCTTATGCGGTCCTCAATATTCTTGACTGGCACGCCATTGTTGCTCCTTACCAATTCACTGATCGTTCCCCAAGTAATTGCTTTGTGAAGAAGGCAGAATAGTTTCCTATTGTCGCCTAATCGAGCCGCTGCCTCCATTCTTGAGGTCATGTTACTCCAATAGTGATTTCTATCCCGCCTGCTTTCGTTGCAAATCTTCGAAGCATCCGGTAGTCAGAATCACCTGATATTTGTGCTTTGGCAGCTTTTTCAGACAATTGGACAGTTGCTTCCGATACCCAACTAGCGCACTTCCTACTAATTTTTCTCCGAATTTTTTAGTTTGAGGTAATTGAAGGAACTTGAAGGATGCTGCGAGTTGTCAATTTTATGTGGATCTTGGCTTGAACCATAACATGGTCAGATCCATGAAGATTGCCTGTTTTAATTCCGCGATAAGAACGACTATCTAGTACGGAACTCTTCCAACGGCGACTGACTAAGATATAATCAATCTGGTTGAAGTGTTGGTTGTCCGGAGAGTTCCACGTGACTAGATGATTTCTATGATGCCGAAAGCAAATATTAGTAATAAAAAATTCATGCTCTTCGGCATAACGAACGTTCCCCATTGGCACACCGGTCTCCGATGCCATATTTGCCAATTGCTGAGGTTATCGCAGTTGCATTATGATCTACGCGAGCATTCCAGTTTCCCCCTATGTCCACTCAATCAAAGCGGAATGGACCTTGTGAGACATGAATCGCTACGCCATTTCGTCCCGAGTTATTCGAAGCACCACAGTGATATGGCCAGTATCTCTGCTCTAAACCAGGATTAATAATTGCTCGAGATCCAAAGTAAGGAATACAAACCTTTGACAAGCGCACGATATGCACACGATAGTTAGACAGGGTGTGGACAGTGATCGCTTGTCTTGCAACGTCCACAAGCGTTCTGACGTTCCACGCTGATACGGCTTACCTCGCCGCGCATGAAGAGGGCTGTTCTCCTTGATAGGTTTCGAGCAATTACCCTGGCTTGAGAGCACACTTTATTTGCAAACCTTGGGATCGCTTTAAGCCTGGATTCTAAATTTATCGCATGTACCACCGGGCTCGAAGTATCATGCACGTCGGGTGCCGCATCAAGTGTATCTGACCCTTTCATCATAGAGTCACATGGGGATAGAGTTACAGGCGGGTCTCTAGTAACCACCCGGATTTTTGACATAATAGCAGGTTTACTCCTGTCAAAAAAAAAAATCAAAAATCGCAAAAGAATCTAGTAAAGAGAGAAAGCAAAAATTAATCAAATCAAAAAATAATAAAAAAGAAGGATAGTTATTTTCTGCATGTACAAATAAATAAAATGAAGAAACCTTTAAAATAAACCTTTTAAGCCGATCAAATTTTTTATCAGGTAATTTTCGACCACTCCAATGATTTGTATTGGGGAGCGATTTTGATGTAAAAAACTAAACAACCTTTCTTCATTACGAATAGTTATTTTGTGGCCATATTAGCAACGGAGGTATAAAAAAGACGATCGCCAAAATGTAAATTTTTGAAAAGATTACTTAATGCATCGCGCAAGCACATTTCCTTTAGGCCCAATAATAAGTTTATTTTTTTTCATTTTCATAACGAATATTATTTTTTATCAATGAATTTCGTTTTGAATAGCTTATTTTTTTCACTTTTTTCTTTTATCACATTCTTTAGAAAAATTAAATGGTTTAAATGCCTTATTTTGGAGTGGACGATAAATTCTTTAAATAGAAAATACAATAAATATTTTCATGTATAAAAACAAAATGTGAGTTGTTGTTCTCATTTCTGAGCATCGATGGTGCAATTTCGTGCTTAGTAGGAGGTAAACCTATCCTTCAAGAAATATGGGTGGTGCTGCCGACTCATCTCTATTTCCGCCTAATTGACTCCCTTGCAAATTCGCTTAACTCTACAAGCTAGTGAGGCGAGCTTAACCAGATGTGGTGAATTCTCTTCATAAAATATTTATATGGAAAATCACAAACGAATCGTAAAATATTGCGATGAGCTAACCTTTCCGACAAACATTTTTTGCGCTGCTTCACGAAATTGTTGTGACATGCCACAGTATATCGCAAAACGAAAAGGATAAGATATCACAATCAATATATTTCTAGAATTCTATACCAATAAAATTTTTATTATCAACATCATTAGACATCAAATTAGCTGAATATTTGTGCTCAAAATTTGAAAATCTGTTTTCGACTCTCAAAGCTTTCATTAAAAAACCCGAGTGGTGCTGGTGGCCCCCTTGTCTATCGTCGAATAATTCTATGGCAAAATTTTCCAATCACAGTAAAATTGTTAGAATTTAATTATAAAAGGAATAAAATTGTGTTCATTATTTATTTTCAACAGTTTTGGGCAATTTTTTCAATAAATTTGCCTTTTCTTAAAATACTCAAACGATGATTCTTTAAAAATAGTTTTACTGCTCTAAGATTTTAGGATCACAATGGGGTCACTAGGTAAGTAACCTTATGATAAGAAGTTTATTAATGACGTCATAATATTTTAATATAGCATTAATTCGCAATGCAACAGTTCCGACATGAGTCGCAAATATCATTGCCGCTGGGATTTCAGTCACCAGAAATAACAAAATAACAACTATTAACATTCGAGTAGTCTAAAATTAATCGATATGAATCAACTGTGTCGTCAAATGATGCTATATATATACAAAGGTGATTCCTATGGATATTTATGCCAAATTAACCAAAAAACGTAGGAAAAATTTAATCGTCTAATCGACCTGATCTATGATGGATTTGTTTAAAAAAACAAACGCTTTTATAGTTCTTTTCTAAAGTATTAGATGAGGATCTAACATTTTTGCTTTTTTATTCCAAACCTGCTTAAGACCTTGGACCCTTTTTGATTCGATAAGTGCACTATTGCTGCATGAACCCTTTTTCTTTTTTTGTTGATCTTTCTCTGGTTTTAAGAATTCACCCATTGGTGAATTTATTGGATCATTTTCTTGAGAAATTTCTTCATTAAGACTCGTTAAACTTATTTTATTTTTTACTACATCACTTCCTTGATATTCTCGATCGCGTGGCCTGCAAATAAATTTTTGCATTAACTTTTTTACTTTTTTCAGAAATGCTTATATATTTGTTCAATTATATATTTACAATATGAAATCGAAAACTGAAGAAAAAAACAGAAAGTAAACATTAATAAATATAATGCCATTTTAATGATATTTTCCTCAAAATTCCTTTAAATCATTCATGCATTTCCAAATCTATTTATTGCAAAATTTCTAAAGCAATATGGCTGAATCGTAGAATACCATTTAAAGTATCTTACGTGCGTCTGGCATTGAAAAAATTAGATAGTCTTGGAGACCCACCTGCAACTTACAAATCCACCTGATTCTTCTGCTTAAGCACTCATTGGCAAAACTCTTTTATCCTGCTTAGGTAAATGGAGTGAGCCTAACCAGAAATGTTGAGCTCTAGCCATTTATTTTACAAATTTGAGTGAACAGTGAATATAAATTTTTTATTTACGGCTATGCTCACTTTGATATTAAGGTAGCATATCTTTCGTCCGCAAATCTTATAGCACGAATTAATTTCCATGTAAAAGTAACCAATAAAATACATGGTAATATATGTATAAGTGCTGTATGTAAACCATAAATAAAGAAGTGATAAGCATCATTGCCGATAAAGTTAATAAATGATGACTTCATTCGAACACAGTATCGAATAAGCGCTAAAAATCAACATTATGAAAAAATCAGATGCATCGAATTTTAACCAAACATTAACTGTTAGATGATGGACCAACGACTTCAAATATTTGAATTCTTATTCATGATGAGACGGTTCAAAAGCAAAATAATCTGCTGAAACTTGGTTCTATTTGAAAGTACTTTTCAGATAGTTCTTATTTCAAAACCTAAGTGGGCCTTATATATAGACCTCTCCTTTTTTTAATTCTAAAGCTATGAAAGCAAGAAATAGAGTGGTAGAATACTCCATCAACCATCATGAGACTGATTTAAACTCTTAGTAAATTTATAAAAACTAATATACTAGCGTTAGCAGTCTATATTTCTATCTCAAAGCGAATATTCTGCAGAACAAATCTTATTGCTAATAGTGGCGCAGCCAGCGAAACAATGCTTGGTGAATAATGTTAGAAAAAAAGAAAAATACGGTTTAAAATATCCTATAAGATTTAAAAGTTGCATAAATCTGTGAATCTTAATGAAATACTCGTTGAATTCAATTGTTATAACCATTAAAATTGCATTTGAGGAACGATGAATTGTTTCAAAATTTTGTTATCAATTGATATGCAAAGCAAGCTTAATCATTGTTCAAATTATTTTCAGGATTTTAAAATATGAATTTGACATGATTTGAACAAAAACTAACAATTATCATTTTTGTCGACAGTTGCAAATGATTTATTATACATAGCAAATGTATCTGGTGCATAAAACAAAACTGCTGCTACACATATTGTAAATATAACCTTAATTTTTATAAACAATATATAAATTAGGATCTTGAAATATATATAAAAAATATCTCTGCAATAAAATGCTTGCTTAATATGAAAATAAATAGATCTACGGCACTACGGCTTCAAACTGCAAAACTCTGAGTTTCTGTTAAATTGACGCTGCTTGATACAACTCAAAAACTAATTTCCTTAAAAATTTCTGATGCAATTCCATATTCCAACGCTGGTTTTCATTCAGAATATCTGCCATTTTTTGCTGAAAAACAGTTTTAGTTCCTAAATGTCTTTCGCAGCTACAATACTAACTTATTTCTCGCCACTGTCACACTGATTATATCTTGATTAACCATCCATGTTCCATAGTAAATAGCCTTTCCTACCATGCTTTAGACTTGTAATGCGAAAAACCATGTTATGGTTTGAACCAAGATCCGCATGAAGCTGAAAACGCGCAGTAAATTGCGTAGCCCTATCTTTTATCCATCTGAACCCAAAAGTTTTGGGGAACAATAAGCATATTTCAGGCTGAATTATCAAAGCATCTCATTGATATATAATTATTAATAACTCTGGTAGGACTTATGAATGCTGGTCGCAAGCAAAAGTGCCTCCGAAATTCCGTCAAGAACAAGTTAGGATATGCCATTATGCTAGACAACGGAAGCGCAATCCAACTGTCCAAAAAGAGCAAGCATAACAAGATATTTTGACTATTGGACTGCATGCAAAATTAGGCGGTATTTGAAGATATGTAATAGCGAACAATAGCGGAGATAGTGAGATAAAAATAATATAGGGCCCCTGAATATAGAGCCAGTTGCTCACGTAGGCAGCAATAAGAAGCAATTTCTGTCTTTATAAAGGAAGTGTAACTCGGGAAATGGTCACTAAAATGATCCGCCACAACAGAGATCGCCCTATTCGATGGAAGATATTCTTTGAAACTAAATCGTTATGATGTCTCACCTGTCATTTTGACAATTGAAACGTTCTCATTTATTTGCCATATATTTACAATGGAACCTAATAATCCACGTCCAAATCTCAAGGAGGTTGACAGGAGATGAAGCGTCAATTATCAATGGATTACTTACGTCTAGATGTCTGAAAAAATTTCTATAAGAAAATTTTCGCCTCTCTTCTGCCGAATATTTGTACGTACGAGAAGTTAGCAGAACATACCCTAATCAGACTGGATTCAGGCTGGGATCTGAGTATGCTAACCAAACATTGACACCAAGAAGGACATTGGAACATCGCTCCAAATATCGATAACTTAACCATCACCTATTTCATTGATATTACTAGTAATGGTGCGAGTTGAAAAAGAAAGTTATAAATGTAATACAAAGTTATAAATGTAAAGTCACAAATATACGTCTGTATATGGAGAACTGAGAGGCGTTTTCGAAATAAAAACTGGTATCCGTCAAGACTGCGTCCTCTCTCTCCTCTCTCATATTCAATGCGATAGATTTGATAGTGGAAATCGCTTATCGGCACTCAAGAAGTGTCCAAATCAGTCCAGAGCATCGTATCGATCTTGAATACGCTGATTATTTAAATCTTTTTACTGATAGTCAGGACGAAATGCGAATAAGCTAAACAATTTGTCGATAACTGCAGCGAGAATTGGTCTCAGGGAATTGATCAATGTAAATAAAAGGAAAGCCTTTTCGTCTCATATAAAAAACTGATAAAAGACCTACTTTTATACCTATCAATTCATTGCCGGTTGAGGAAGTGCTCGAATACCTTGGATCCACTTTGAAATCGAATGACCAAACAAACAAAAGACTAAATTACAACCTGGACAACGGCAGCTAAAAATGGCGAATTCTTCTAGTTGACGAAACCTTTATGGAGTAACTCACCATAAAAACGAAATTTCACGTGTATATGAATGGGATTCGTTCGATCTTCCTATATGGCTGCGAGGCATGGCTGATGAGAATGGAGGATGTTAAGAAGTTACTTTTGACCACTTATATCTAAGGTAGATTTTACGGGCTTGCCCGAGGTTGACCAGCAATATAGGGAGTTAAGTGATGGATAAAGGAGTAGCTTCTATTACTGTCGACGAAGCCGTCAGACCACGCAGCTTGGAAACGTCTTATCCGAGCCAGTGGAGCCAGCTTAACCTAATTGTGAGAGCTGTGGAAAATAAACATATAGTACCCAAGAATTAAGAATTACTCAAGAATTATTTTTCAAAATTAAAAAGTAGCGGAAAATTTCGATTTCTGGAGATTTCTGGAAATTTATCAACGAAAATTTTTGTCGCTTCCAGTTAGAAGATTTCCACAAAGTTATACTAAGCATTTATCATTCTTTGAATCAGCGTGTTTCATAAATATCTATGCTAAATTTTTAACTCATATTTTTGAAAGCAAAGATACTTTTTTCAATTTTAATTTTAACTTTCTAATTATAGTCAATTTTAGTTTAAATTTAAATTTTAAATTTAACTAATCAATTTTAGCTTTCTAATTAATTTGAACTCAAAAAATATTTGTAGACAAGCAATCTATATTTTTCAACTTTATCTTGAGTCGATTTTTATACTGGGTTTTATTAAAAAGATCTGTACTTTTCTACACTTGCGTACTTGTGTGCTTCAAAAAATTTTCTAACTAACAAGGCAAAATTATTTAGTTCGAATTTTCAAAAAAAAAAGTAACTGATTGTCTTTCTCGGCGATTCGACACCCAATCGAAACTATTTATTTATTGATAAAGATAGTTTTTTTTTTAAATTTTAAGGAAAAAGGAAAAATACAGCCTTAACAAATTTTTAAATTTATTCTTCAAAAGTGCAAAAGTTTCCTGAAATTTCTTTTTTATGCATTCTTTTTATATAAAAGACTTTTTTAAAACGATATGTAAGGGAATTTAAAAAAGCATAAGTCACCTGTTTGGTTCTTTTTAATGAACAGTGATTGCCCACATATTTTGGCAAGCAAATATAAATATATCGCTGTACTGCGAGATATACTGTTAACCAGATAGCAGCAGTGTGAAACACTGATGGTAAGATAAAAGCCATAAATGGAAACATGCAACACCAGAAAGGAGGCAAACCCATTTCCTGGTCTGTACTGAATCCTTAATATCCATCTTTTATATCACAATCTATCATAATGTAAAAAAAAATTGCCTTCAGTTTTGATGAAGAATTTCACTTCATTTTACGAATTTTATAATTTCATGAAATCATTTAATTTTTGTTGATATTTCTATATAGTTGATATAATTTTTTTGAAAATTTACCACGTAATGTATAATAATATAAAAGCCAAGGAAGACAAGAAAATCCTGTAAGTAATTCAGAGACAGCCATAGCCAAAAGAACGAAATTCGTTGGTGAACGAGGGAGTTTCTGAGATAGTACGAGAACAATAAATGAGTTTGTAGCAAAAGTGATAGCCACAATTACTGGCATTAAATAACCATAAAGAGGCAAAGCCCATGATAATGGTACCTGGAATGTTTTTAGTTTATTTAAAAAATTATAACCATGGTAATTGCAATTTTATTCATATATTTGTTCTCTCTCACAAATGTTTTTTGCACTATATGAATTGGATTATAATTGCTCTGTAATAGCCAGGTAAGAGAAAAATTATAAAAATTTCTGCCAAAAAAAATATTGTTTTGTTGATTGGATAATACAAAACGATCAAAATATTAATAAAGAATTTAAGAGAATTTTTGGAAATTTCTTCTCAAATCACTGCATATTCTATTGATACGCTAATAAATGACGGAGATTTTTCGATGAGAAGTTGATTATAATAGAGGATTTATTTTATGAAAGATAGATGGATTTCTGGCCCAGTTTTTAACTCGCTTTTTGATTTAATTTTTTCTTTTAACTAACTGAAGATATAGTTCAAACGAAGTAAAAAAGTCTAAAAGGGATTATTAACTTAAGTTGCAATTATAATAAAATTCATATCAATTTAAAAAAACTCCATCTTATTGATAGAATATAGAAAAATAAAAAGGAAAAATGCCATTAAAAAAAGAAAATTTCTGAAAAATCTGTAATTTTATTCGATAAAAAATTGAGAAAAAACAAGCCAAAACTGTAATTTAAATTAATTACATCAGAATTCGAATTGACCTTAATTCAATACCAATAATAATTGAGAAAATTAAGTTATATATCCATACAAAGTAGAAAAATAAATATTCTTAAGATGTCCTTCTATTTTTATTGTTCTTAATAGTTCCATCTTCGATATACAACGATCGTAGATTTTTCAATTAAATTAAAAAGTAAAATGGTAACATGTTTGAATAAAAATGTTTTCTCGCAAATAAATCAAAAGTTTAAACAAAAGTAAAATAAGGCAGTTGCGCACCTGAGAACTAATTGAGATAATTCGACATTGGGATTGATTCAAACAATTTGATAATTCTTCAGATTCATCCATTAATTTCATATTTTTTTATAGTGAATGCATCTTTTTTCTGTCAATTTGATTTGCAGTTTGCAATCAAAATTTAATGAAAACGACAATCTGAAATTTTAAAAGTAATAAGGGAAAAAAGAAAAATTCTCAATAAAAAATAAAGATTTGCCTCATCAGAAATTCCAAGCAGAAAACAAAGGCAATCCAGATAACATCAAAAATGATAATTTTCAAGTAATTTAAGTAATTGAAATGAATTGCGACAAATCGAAGAGATTAATGACTCTATTTGATTTTGTTTTAATGATAAATATCTTATTGCGAAAGTTTTCTTCAACCAATAATAAGGGTAATAACTTTGTTGATCAGAAACCACAGCTGAAGGGTAATAACTTTGTTGATCAGAAATCATAGATAATTTATTCTAACGAAAATGTCTATGATTGCGCTATTGTTAAATTTTTTCATTTTTAAGCCATGTTGATAAAAAGACGAGATTTATGGTGATTTGTTGTTTGCTTTACATAATCGCTTAGTTTTATTTCGAAACTCATTAATGAAAATCCAAGATAATGTTGAAAATAATAGGCGACAAATCGTTATCCTATCCTAGTCTTTTGCTCGCTGCTCAGCTACATACCAACAAAAGATACCAACAAAAATCGCCCACATTAAAACAAAGCAGATCTTTATGTGAACCGTACTATAACCATAGAAAAATAGTTCTCTGTAGTGGAGTTATAAATTTTAAAGTTATAAAGTTTTTTCAGGAAAAAATTGTTCTTCGCTCAAAAAAAGCAAATTATCGACAAAATCTATAAGGCAAAAAAAATCTAATTTACTGAATGTTATTAAAATTATACTAATTTAAAAAATTAATAAGATTATTCGAACCACTTAATTTTCAAAAACAATTTTTTAGATGAAAAAGTGGAAAGTGGAAAACTGGGAAAATTGTGGTTAACATTTTCGATTCGCAGTATTCTAATCTACAGATTTTCTAAACATTAAATTTGTAAGGTTTTAATAATAAATATATTTGCATTAGGCCAAAAAACTTTGTTTTTTCTGCTGTTTATTCTGACATTTCTCAAGCTTGAGATGCATTATCATATAAAAGCCTAGCAATTAATAAATTATCATTTAAAATACCCTTTATCACCCTTTCACCCTTATCACACTTTTCGACTAGATTGATGTTGCAAGTTTTTTTTAAGGGCATTCACCAATGTTGATTAGGCTCGTTCAGCTGGTTTATCAGATTAGGCCGAAATTATAGGAAGACGGTAGAAGTAAAGTGAATCGCCAGAACCTTCCGGATTTGGAAGAGAGATTTCTGCTGGGTGTAGAACTCAAGCATCGGCGCTCCGAATTGAATGAGAAGTCACCGATTCATTCTAACTGCCTCTGCCTTCGCAAATACTGTCACGAGAAGAAGGGTGGTGTTTTAACTGGATTCAAATCCCCCGAAAATTTCAATTCGAATGTTTCATTTCCAATGAGCCATCGGCGATATATTGCACTAAGATTCATTGTGTTGCATCGATTTTAATAATGAAGAAGAGTTAGTGCAAACAGTTGGAGGAAGGTTCTAAAGTTCCCTTTTCTCGAAAATCACTCCCATGAAATTATCTAGAGAGGAGAAGAAATCAAATATCAAATTATCACAAAAAAATTAAAGTTATATAATAAATTTTTCGGAGTGGGATACTTGCTAAATACAGTTCCGGATCCTTAGAAAAGGGAGAATACCCAGTCTATATAACATTTTTAAGAGCACTCACCATTGCTGGTTCGACTCACTCCGGTGGTTTCTTTAACTGGATAAATATGCCATCCCTTGGCAATATTAAAGGTGAATCGCCAGCTTGACTCAGGAAGAACATATAATAAATTTTATTAAGTTTATATAGATAAAGCTTATGTCAAATAACATCTTTACTTCATTAATGTAAATTTCATAACCTTTGGAGAGTGCTCGAGTATTTTGCTACTATTTATAAATGGTCAGCTAAGCTTCATAATAATAAAAATATTCATTTAATAATAAAATGAATATAATACTTTCAGCCAACGAAAAACTAGCAAACAAGATGGTTCGAATCAAAAGGACAGCATAAAAGGATAAACTAAATGAGGAAGTCTGTATTGTATTGTATTATTTATTCTAAAAACATTCACCATTTCTTGCTCAGTAGACTCGACTGCCTAATTTAATGAGGCTTTACTACCAGAGACTACTTGGGATAGAAATGTAATTGCATTTCCAGTACGAATTTTTCCTTTAATTAGGGGCTTACTTGCTATTATCAACAGGCAGCAATCGAATTATCCTAGCTCGATCTTGGCTGAAGCAAAACACCCACTTGGCTATCTTAATTTATTAAAAGATAAAAGCAATTTCAGAATGCTGCTGAAGTTTATTTAGTTAAGGTCTAAGCCTGGAACGGAGGCAAAAAAACTGGTGTACTTCGCTTATATTTAATCAACCAAATTTTCTTAATGATTTTTTGAATTTTTAATCTTTCACGATGAAAAATAATAATTTATTTATCATATTCATAGTTTACTTATATTTCACCTTTTTTTTTCTCAATCAACACAAATAATGTGGTCAATTATCATTAATTTTAATTATGGTAACTAATTATAATGTCAATATTTTTCAAGACATCAGAAAGGAAACTCTTTTTTACTGAATTTCGTTTCCCACTTAATAGTTTAAAAATACATTAAAAGGAGCGCATAAAATCAAAAAATTAAAGTAATGCAAATTCACTCAAACTACCTTATACGATTAGAGGAATCAAATCCCACGAAATTGTGGCGACCTCAAGATGCTGGAGATGTCTTTATTTTCACGGCCTAAAATTAATCCTTGAATTAAATGGAGTTAAATGAGTTGAATTAATGATTAATTTGTGGTGAAAAATGCAATAAAGGAAGAATAAATCATCAGGGAATTAATAAAATAAGGAATATTAGAGTTTCTTAATAAATTTTATAGGATTAGAAAGTCAGAAAGTCAGAGCGAGAATCAATAAACATCTCATTTAATAAAACGTTAATTAATCTAGGGAAGTCAAAATGAAATTTGAAATTTCTGGCAAAAAAATTTTTTTAAAATGGCATTTAATAGAAACATAAAAATAAAAAAGCCAAGCGAGCGACAATTAGGTTGAAAATTGCGGAGAAATAAAAATAAATAAGGCTAATAAATTCAATTAAAATTAAATAGTCTTAAAAAGTTAACCAATGTGGTGAATAAACCAAGAAAAATGAATATTAATTATTATTAGTTTTTTTCTCTTCCGAAGAGTAAAAAGCCTTTTGAACATTTAGCGGAAAATGTGGCAGATTATTTGAACTTTCTTTTTTTAGATTAAATGAAATAATTTCTTAGTTTTTTTCTTCAGTTTTTCTTTATTTCTATTAATATTGGATTTTTTCCTTAATTTGTCCTGAATCCATAGCCAAAAAACTATGAACTATCCAGAAAAAAGAGAAAAAGAGAGAAGCCTGAATTCAAGACTGTGTTTGATAGAGATTAAGCACTTGAAAATTCAAGTCTCATCAAATTTTAAAAGATTTTCAAACTACAACCACACAGGGCAAATTCGTATATTTTAGAGTGATTACCAATAAATCAAGTGTTTAATTATAAAATCAATAAATTTTAGCTGAAATACACGAAAAAAGATTTTCTAGCGCAAAACTTAGTTATTGGAACGCTAAAATTGATGAAATTTCAGATTTATATTTATATATTTATATTTTAATTAATCAAAAGAAAAAAGCGATAGATTGCCTGAATTATCTGTGATATTTTAATGAAAATACGATAAAAAAATCCGAAAATCATCCATTATAAAGCATTCATTATTCATAGCTATAACAAAATATTTCAGTGGCAGAAATTATAGAAATAGTGGATCAGATCGTCAATTTAAATAACGCGTGATATTATTGTCAGGTAAATTCCTAATTTCACTGCTAAAAATCAAAATTTTATTGTACCTTAGCAATATCGGCACGTTTCACCAGTTTATCACTCAATTATTCATTGCTAAAACAATTTTACTTAAAAAAAGAAAATTTTCTCAGTAGGAAAGCACCTGACAATTTAATAACGCTGGGCACATCAAATAAACTCGTCCTAATTTCATTACCAAAAGCCTTAAAAATTATAGTAACCAAACCATGAATTAGCGGAATGAATCGATGGCCATTTAGCGAG